TCTATAGTCACAAAATTGGTATAATTACAAATTTATTTTTACCAATTATTTATAACTATATAGAAAATACCTCTATACTAGTCACACCTCTTTACAATCATGGTTTTTTGTATCCCGAAGATGTGACTATAGAGGGGTTTGACTGTATATATTTTTTATAGTATAGAATATTTTTATTTAGAAAGTTAAGTATTTGTCCAAAAATGTCTAAAAATATCCAAACTCATATCTACAAATATCCTATCCTGTGACAATACTGGTTTATATAGTACATGTTTGATTTTATTTATTGGGTAAATTAATCTACTGATACATATTGCAACCCTAACACTAATAAATCACAATATTTTTCTTATTATTTTTATTCATCATACTTGCAAGCACGTTTGAAGAAGTTAGATCATTTCAATGATTCCAGTCTAACTAGATAAATTATTGATTGGTCGTTCTATGTGATTGCACTTTCAACTCTTGTTTGTCAAGTATCCTCTTTACTTTGCAAACTACTCCTTAAAGGTCACTTTCTCTATACTCTTTTTTAAACTTTGTGCTAAGGTTTGTTGAGTGATATACTCCTTTCGATACGGATAGGATCTCTGAACTTAATAGTCTAAACTAAACTCTAAGTTTCTCTATTATGTTTATGCATAAAATTTTTTGAGAAAATTTTTGAAAAACTGATGAATATCACAAAGTTTTCCTTTTTTATTTAGTTTATATGACCTGTTTTTGATTTATTATTTCGAAAATCAGTAGAGTTACATTATGATAAAATACAATGCGAAAGGTTTTTTGTGATATAGTTGAGTCTCATAGATTGTTTATATATTGGACCCAATGATCTAAGAGATGATAACAGCACATTTCACACCTAGTGGCATGCGAAAAATTTGGATCATCTCTAAACTGGGTAAGAGATGATGACGGCACATTTCACACTTAGTAGCAATACTTACAAGGTAACACTCTCTGTTTACTATTGATTCGCTATCAGAGGCCATAAAATGCGAATCACTTTATCGATGACCGAGGTAAATGAATTGAAAAAATAATCGAATACACATATTTTTAGAATCGTTTATCCCTTAATCCCTTTCTCTATAGACTTGAAATTTTTTTTATTAACGTTCCCAATTTAAATTCTTTTTGGGTCACAGATGCAAACCTTCTCGTGGTGTGGCCTGGACATTGAACGACTGTTCAATAACTAACTTGCATCACATTATTAGTCCAGTACGTTGACAGTGAAAAAAAAATGATAAAATTAATTAAAAGAGTAACTACGATTAACTGGAGGACATTCCCGATTACGCTGATAAATAGTTTTGTTCGTGTTTTTTTTTTTTTTTTAACTTTATTAACCAGTTTTTTTTTTTTTTACCGAAATATGTTGTTGTTGGCGTTGCTTTTGGTGTCGATATCGTCATGTACTAGTGTTATCTCTTGTCGGGTTTTGTTGATATCGCTGTTTCTGAATTCGTCGTTTGCTGGGGTTGTCCTTTACTGGAATCGTCGTGGTTGGTAATATCCCGTTGTTTCGTTGGTGTCATCATCTTTCTGATCGGAATATGAGATATATTTGTCTTTTAAATTAATGTTGTACACAACTGCCACCTTCTCACCCAATTAAGGTCATCGACGTAAACTGTTATTTGGGTTTAAAGTTATTTTTCGGTTATTATTCTCTTTTAAACTGAATGTAGGTGCTGTTCACATGATTGTGAACTTGGATGGAAATATCAAAATAGCATTGGAGGCGAAAAGAACGAATCTAAGGATTATCGAAAATCCGCAGATATGGAGCATGCTACTGGAACAAAT